AATGAGGGAATGTGGCGGGGGGTGGGGGTGGAGGAGGAGTGAGGCCGGAAGGAGGGGTTGAGGGAGGGTGGCGAGGGAGTCTGACAAGGGCGAGGCGGAATGAGTGGTTTAAGGCTGTAGAGCGTATTGTATTTTTCGCATAGTGGAAATCGTAATTAGGCGCGTGTTATGCATTGTATTCCTGCCAAAGCGAAATCTTTTTCCAGCCGGGGACCTAAAAACTGACTAGAGGGCGACGATCGTATGCTAAATGTACATCTTATGGTGAACACAATAATACTGAATTTATGGAAAGCAAGCTAAGTTCTAAGCTATATACTAATTATATATTATTAATCGATATATTCAATAAACTCTTCTTTGTATTTATGTAAGGCACGCTCTTATCTTCATAGCAATGAACCAATTACGTCCGAAGCCATTGAAACGAAGTCAGTGTATAGCCAAGAGCGTTAAAATTCTGCAGCAGACGTTAATAGAGTCGGAGTAGACTTTTCGGTTTAGATTTATCATTGCTTTTAAATATCTGAATTGATGACGTGGTGCTACATAACTTCAACCTCCCGAAATATTCACAACATAATTGTATCAAATGATGTTTTAGTACACGAATATTTAAATTAAAATTATTGAAATAACCACAGAGCTACGATATTATTTCAAATTGTATGGAAATGATTAATTTACATAAACTTTTCTTTGTATTAGCATTATTAAATGTTAAGGCCGCAAACTTTACATTTCAGTGTGATTGAGCGATCGATGAAATATAATACAATATTATAAATAAATATAAATCACTATCACTATATTTTTTATTCAGGGCTTCTAAAATATACGTATCTTCAATATTTCTTTTACTTCGCCGTTTCTGAGAACTTTCAATTTCTAAAGTTGGAGCTTGTTATTTCTGCTTCCTGAAGAATATTGGAAGGCGCAAGAAAAATCATTTTCCAGCTAAGTCGCACCGAAATTCGTGAACAAAATCAATCAGGTAGCAAATTATTTAAGTCTTTGGCCAACACACTTTCAGTCTAGTCCCATTATTGTCTTAATTTCATTTGACCACCTTGTTTTCCTCCTGCCCCTGCCTCAACGACAGTACAGACGAGAGTACTGATATAAT